ATTACCCACAGTATTTAATGAGTTCAAGAAGTCCAGGTTTCAACAGGTAAAGAGTTATATTAAATCTGTTATTATCCATCCTCGATCCTGTATTTCATACCAACACAAACAATTGTTGTTCCATGCATATTATCTGGACTAGTGGTATGACTTTCATGTTAAACAACTACACAAAATATCTAGACACATGGAAAACTGACACAATTATTTCACCAGTTCTGCTTGTTTATTGTATAACAGGCTCTTGCGAGCGGGTTGATATTACGGCTGCAAATCAAAACATATGCAATGAGCGGCATGCTATGCCAGAGGAAGAAAAGGAAAACTACACCAGGACAGCCCTAGGTGCTGAAGACAATGATATCGGGATTTCAGGTGTGCAGTTTTGTTAAGTTCATGTGGCGACATTTATCAAATGGGACAATTGAAAAGAAAAAAACTGACTAACCGACCAACCGACTGACAGACCTACAAACGACTGCGCCGTTCCTTATTGGCTCATTCTGATTTGTACTCCAACCATTGGAACCGATGGTTGGTATACAATCAATTTAATGTCAATTTTATTAAGAGTGTCCGACTAACGTGTTTGGGCTCGTGTTTTACTTGAATCTCCAACACATTCTCATTTATAAAGACAAGGAGAAACTTATGAAGACAAGGAGAGATGATGTCATCATGACATCCTGAATTTTTACTTGAAAGGGGTCTTTCTCTCCTGATGTAAAACAAACGGTCTCCCCTAAAGAAATAGTCGTGACAAGGGTGCATTAGTTAATATAGTGTGAATGATTTGAGGATTTTATTGGCGCTCCCCACTGAAAATATTGCATAAGCCCCCCCCCCCCCCCACCTATTGATTTTCGGAGGCCTAAGTGTCTGAAAAAAGTAACCGGTCTACATTTCAGCACGCCTCCTTGAAAAAAATCTGGATCCACCGTGCTAGCCCCCCAAAAATATTGGTTCTAGAACCGCGCCTGGTCCTCAAGGTTGAAAAGTCAGTCACAGAAAATAACTGATTTTTACAAACGAAACCCACTACCTTGTGTGCACTTTCAGTACGATGATTGAATGAAAACGATGGATCCACTTGTATTCAATTGTATAAGCTACTTGACCATGAATGATCAAGAACAGAAACACGTATCAAGTTTGACATCAGATTCATTCCTTTTTTTCGAACTACATGTATGCAAGCGACCATGCTAAACGTCAGTTGTACAAAGGAATCAATGTTGTTCTTTTCATGCATTTTATTGTGAATGAGAGCAACAATTACCCTCTGCACATCGTAACTGCTAATTGCAATACGCCGCCTGTCAAATTCCACAAAACTTTCAAAAATGTTCAATCAAGCTGGGTTTTGTGTATCCAGGGATACACTAGATAGGTTTCTGGAAGAGGTAAAGATCAGCAGATCAGGCAAAAATTCATTTGAAGGTTTGCAAAGGTCTAGCTGACAATATAGATATTCTTGCATCATATGCAGCTGTGACCTCTAAAGGTGTGGCCAGGAGTTGACGTGGAACATCTACATCTATTATGGCTCAGCAGCCAAGACCTTCAGAAATCCTTTCTGATGTTGAGGATTGTCTGGGAATTTCTTAGACTTTGATGTAGTTCATATTTTTGGAGATGGTTCTTGTTTTTATCGGTGTTTGGCAGTGTACGGAGACTTACAATTACTTGAGTGTTCCCGAAACATTGTTGGTCTTCCAACAGAATTGAATAATTAAGAAAGAAAACAGTATCTCCATTGATTTGAAAAGCTGTTTGTGATGTTTTACAAAATCATGTTGATGTTCTTGATTTGCTTCCCCACGCTGAAAAACAACATCTCCTTGAAATCAGTCAAATTAGGTCATACCAAAATTTTGCAGAACGGATCAGTGATAACAAAAATTGGGGACATATGCAGGGCATCTGAAGATCTGTGCTGTGTCCTATGTAACCAACACTGCAATTAGGCTCTTCCAAAAAACAAATAATTATGTGAGATTGCTAAATACCCGGTCAATCTATCCATTTTATCAAACCCCTATCATATTTGTATACTGTATACTCCAGGAGAAGTGTCACTATCCGGTCATTTTGATTTATTGATTAGTGATGATTGCAGACCAAAGCACATGACCCTCATCAGTGATAATGCTGTAAAATCAGGTGATGTTTTTGCAGATTGGCATTTTGAGACTTCAAAAGATTCTGGTGTTGTTTTAAGTCTTCTTCATTATTTAGGTAGTGGTGGTATGCCTGTAGTTACAGTGTACTTCCACTGAAGTCAGTCAAGAGATTCAAATGCATTCTGAGCTAATTGCGAGTCACTCAAGTGAATCAAAGGTGTCACCTCCACAACCCAAAAAAATAAAAGTTCGAAGACGGATACAGGAGGAATTTTCGGAAATGCTCACTCCTCAACCAGGTGATCTTGAATCCCCATTTTATAAAACATATCTCTTCACTCAATTAACTTTTGATACATTTTGCTTATCAAACCTTGAAGATGAGGAAATGACGAGTACAAAAAATGCAATATTAAATTATGTATTACAGCGTTACCCAAGTGCCACTGCAATGACTAAACAGATGGCTGATCTTGTCAGACACAAGCCTTAACCAAGACTGTGGCTGTGTTTATTTTGCAGCGCATAGAAGCTGTTGAAATAAGTATTTGTCTCCAGTTGGACTGTTTCACAGTATCAGTGCCTCATCACAGTATGATCATCATGTAAAATTTCTTGAAATAACCAGAAAAGCCACATGGAAGGGCTCTTATGAAGATGAGTTACTTCCTTCAGATGCAGCTTTAAAATTGCATTGGCTTCGATCATGCTGGGTGAGCACTGTTTGGGGACAAGCGTTATTACCAATTTTTATGTATCCTGATGTTTCACGGTATGGATGGCAAATTTTGGATACTCAGGAAAATGTAGTGGGATACTCAGGAAAATGTAGAGACTATACGAGCAAATGTTAAATTTCTCACCAGGGGTTGTTCATGTGCCAAAAGCAAGTGCAAAACCAAAGTTTGTAAATGTAAAAAAGCAAGTCGCATTTGTGATCCAGGTTGTTCTTGCAAAAACTGCCAAAACATGCAGATAGTGCCCGCTTCTGCTGATACTCATGAACAAGATGAGGAGGAGGATTTTTATGATGATGAAGAAGGGGATGACTTTGAAGGAGGGTCTGATAGTGACATTGATGATAACATTCAGTTGGCAAATAAAACTTATGCACTTGATGAATCCAAAGAGACCAATATGAACCTCGAAGAACATGAAGAAACATGTAGTGTATTTGATGAAGAAAGTGAAGGTGCATTCAATGAAGAAAGTGAAGATGAAGTTTGAATCTTCATCTATACAAATGTTCAACTCATCTTTGCCATTAAAATCCTGTATTTGGTACAAGCAATCCCTTTTATATCTTAAAGTAAGTTTTTAATATGGGCTGTATTTGGTAATATTCAGATCAAAAACTGCTGCATGTTCCAAAAAGTGTCTTTCCAAATATTTGTGTAGTGACGATTTGTAAGGGAAATTACATGCAACTCTTACTGGTGTAGGCAAAGGATTTTTCGGTGATACTGTATTATAACTGTTCAAAACATCTCTGGGTGTATGCTGTGCATTTTCATTCCTGGGTACTTCCCTGTCAGTTCAGTACTTTATTGTTTCTTGTTATGTGTTTAGATATTAACAATATATGCTAAAATTGTGATGCCATTGGAGTCCAATGAACAAGTGTGTGAGCATTGCCAGCTTCACATTTTTTTGGGATAACTGTTGAAATATCTCAGGTATTTTTTCATCTTTAAGTACAATGTTTTTATACGTTTATTGGACATTCCACTACAGTTGCCTTTATTGCTAGACATGTGTGCTTGGACATGCATGTGTATTTCTCCACATGTATTAATGTTTATGTAATTGTGTGCTGTATTTTTTATTTATTTCTACATACTACAGGGGTATAAACCAAATTTCGATGAGTGTACGTTTACAGAATCTAAACCTTGCCAGACATGTATTTCAAAACTTAGTATATAGGGCCTGCATGTATTGCTTTTTGAAGTGTTCATGTAAATCAATGCATTATTTTAAAAAAAAAATGACAGGGTACGATTTTTTATAAGGTGGTGTACGGTGTTTGCAGATTCAGAAAATGAACCACTGACAACATCACCATGCTTTTTGTTTTGTTTTTGTATTTTTCCATTTTTATGTTTTATCATTTTTATACCGTCTTAGAAACATTTTGCAAGTATTAAATATATACATGTATATGTTAACGTTTAAAAAGATTAAAGTGTTTAACGTGCAGCTGGTTGTTTAAAAAATAAAAACATTTCAAGAACTTCAGGCATTTATGGCGTTTATTTGTATTCATTACGATGTCCTTTGTTTTATTATTATAAGTCAATTTCATCCACAAAATAAATGAAAATAATATAGGATTAGAACTATGAGTGATACTGCATATTGCCAAAATTATGAATAATTTTAATCCCCTCATACTTAAATTTCTGGCTCTGGAAAAAGCTTGTCAAAGAATATCAGGCACAAGGAAAACCTTTCCACTTTTACTAATCATTTTCAACCCAACAAAAAAGTAAAATCAGACAATAGCAATATTACGGAAACTTCCTGTTCCGAATAGCCTGCAGTTTTTTTTTTATATAGTCGGACACCTTTACTCTGCAGAAGTACAGGATGAAGATAAAAAGGGATGCGAAAAGAAAAGGCAAAGAGTGTTTGCGGGTTGCGAGTATGGCAGAACAAAAGAAAAGGTAAAGAGAAGCAAGCAAAGAAAGGATGAGGCGCTACAGAGCAAAGAAAACAAAAAAACAAAGCTGGACAGAAAACATCACCTATTTCCAGTAGAAATGGTCCACAACACAAGCCATCAGAGACAAGATCTGTTGTACACAAGCTGCAACAGACGATAGAGGAGAAACGCAGACAAATGACAGAGAACAAAAGCGGGCAGAGAGAGCAAGAATGTCCTCTTACAAGGAAAGATGGGTTCGGGAGAAGAATCGAAAAAGAATGCAAAAGAGAAGAGAGAAGGAAAAGAACAGAAAGAAAAAAGTCAAAACCCCATCACCAGCATCAACCTCGGAGCAGGCTGCATACATGACAGTTTTCGAATGCTTGCAACAGACCCAGCAAGACAAAGAGCACAAGCACCGCAAGAACACAAGAAAATTCTTCCTGTGGAAGTTTGCATCAAAAACATCCAAACGATACAGAATTAGACATCAGCAAGAACATGGGTATCAGGTATAAAACACTGCTGAAGTATTCTTCACTCCGGAACATGCGTACATGCATGAGTGGCTGGACCAGGTGCCCCCTTGTCGGCTGATGTACATGTAGGAGACAACAGTCGAGCTGTCTGAACGAACCCGAACAATTTTTCACGCAGTCTCCCTTTGGAAATAGATCAGAGCTTTTTCCACAGCCAGTAGTTCCAGGACATTGATATGGAGAGCATGTTCTACTGGAGACCAAGTAAGGGCGAGTGAATCCTCTCCTATCTGTTCTCCCCAGCTGTCATTTGACGCACAGAGACACCAGCATAGCTTACAATTCTTGAAACCCTCGGAGCAATAGCGCTTGCGTGGGACTCCGTTTCCCGTGACGACGACGGTGATGAGAATCAGTGGAACGGCCAACCGAGGAATTTCCGGAAGAATTTGAGCCGGAACTCGAGCTGGAGCAGTGGTGTCTACGCTTATGATGGCAATGGGGCCTTCGTCCCGAAAAGTAAGAATCACGCCGACTTCGGCCAAAATCGGGAACCCGCATATACATGTATGTATCTGGGATGAAAGGATCCGGGTCTTCTGGATCTGGTGCCTCGGACCTGCCCGGACACCCGGGTGCGTCGGCCGAATCCACCGGGGGCCCGGCTATTTATACGGCTGCCGGACTTACATGTACATGTATCGGGCTTGCCAGCTTTGGGCGTTTTCTCCCTGGGCCCGCCGATGAGCTGGCTCGGTGCACTCGGAATATCAGTCGGGGCTTTTTCGGCCCAGGTACCCGTGGACATCGACAGAGGCCCGACAGGCATGTCGTCGAGCACCGTGTTATCGGCCCCGCGACCTGAGAACAGCAGCCGAGTTGGCATGTCTCCGGGCCCCGTATTGCCGGCCGAATATTTCTCGGCACTATAAGCCCCGAGGAGAGAGGCCTAGCAGGCGTGTCTTTCGGGGCCGATTTGACAGATTTACTTGCCCGTTTAGTCTTAGTAGTAGTTGGAGGCCTACCAGGCACAGCTCTACCTCTACTCTTGGTGGCAGTGCTGGACAGCGGCCTATCAGGCGAGCCTAGTAGGGAAGACTTTTGTCGGCCAAATGGCTCCGAAGAACTGCTCTGTACCAAGTTACCACTGGGGGAATGACTGCGTAGCCACGCTGAGACTCCACGCTGAGACTCCATTCCAATCATCGGAAGCCCATCCTCCGCATACCTTGCACGGGTGGGCCCGAGAACAAACCCTACACTTGGGGCATAAATCATGCGCATCCCATCTAGATCGCAGTTTAATAATTCTACACATTGTGCAAGTAACAAAATTAGGCGGGTTGAGACCACGTCTAGCGCTACTTACGTCCACCGTCTTGAAAAATACACGAAAATGAGAAACGTTTGCAAAAACTTAACTCGGAACACTGAATCAAATAACAAGAAAATCTGAGTAACGCTGTAACAAACTAACAAGAACTCGGTAGTAAACCAACAAAAGTTTAAAGAAGAATAAACACTTCTAGAGCTAGCGAAAATCGTAGAGAGCTTCAATAGAATACAACTACACCTGATCGGCGTTAGAAGAAAAGAGGACGATATGCCGCTTGGCATCATGGGTATCGGGTATTGGCCAAGAGGGCGCTGTGGTAGATGTAAAATTTAGCGGATATAGCATATTGCCTATGTACATCATAAGGAATAATGCATACATACATGTAGGAATTGGCAGGTAAGAGAGGGCCCGAAGTGGACCACACTTTCAACAGCTAAGGTGGCCAAGCTGATGATGCTTCTGGAGAAAAGAGACACTGATCAGGTGGCTGACTGGTATTGAAGTACATTGTTCACCATCATGCAGGTAGGATAGCAAATCTGGTGAGCCTTTGAAAGAGATTATTTTTCAATGAAGAGTTGCATGAAAATGCCATTACTGTATATCGCAAAATGGAACACATAGAATCATGTTAGTGTTCATGAAAGCTAATTCCAGATATGTATTCCCTTTAGTCTTTAGCCAACCACCTGATAAAGTGGCAGCTCTTCATGTGCAACTCATTCTTTTTTTTCCGTTTAATACACAGATTCAGATGAGTATGAAGTGGAGTGTTTGACTGAGAAAAAAAAAAGCAAAAAGGCAAAATTTACTACCGAGTGAAATGGAAGGCTTTCAACGAGAAGACATGGGAGCCAGCAGGCAATGTATGGTACCAGCTGCGTAGCGACTTCAATAAGAAACAGAAGCCTTGTACATTGAATATTCAAGTCAGACCAACAGTATTCAAAAGTGGTGTGGAAATATATTTCACAAGGAAAAATTAATTTCACATATCTTTCGAAATTAAAAATTAAAACATTAAAGATCTTTTATTTAAAAAAAAGGAAAAGAAATTTATACAGTAGGCCTACACTTTGAATGCTATACTGTGTAAAGCTTTATTAAAGCTCAGTGTATGCAATACCAAAAGCAAAAATGTCATCAAGATTGCTAATCCAGAAATCTTTCCAAGAATTTGTCAGTGTTTTCCTATTTTAATGGCACACATGGTAGGTACATGTAAAACAAAGATAATATTACCTGATCGATCCAAGGAAAAGATTCATGCCTGAATCCGTACAGAGAAGTCAAGCTATTAGCAACTAAACATTAATTTGAAGATCAAGTGATAAAGGGGGGGGGGGGGGGGTGCCCCAAGACAATGTATTGTCAGTAATACTTTGCCTTCTCTCATTTCAATTTTTGAACCATTTTCCCAATTTATATCGAATTCCTAACTGGAGCTGCCAATATTTTTCCTTGATAAATGGAGAACTTATCCATGCTGACAAAAAAAATTCACTGTGTTGCATTACGCTGACATAATTATTCCTCAACAAGTCTTTCACTTCTAGCGATTGCTCATTGACACAAATTCACCACACTTCAGTAAATATTAGTCAGTCTAAGTCCAAAAAGCAAAAAGGAATTTTTTTTTTATAAAGTCTTGTGGTTCTTTGTGATGTCCAGAAGTGGAATTGGGGGGGGGGGGGTGTTCAACCCCCCAAGAAAAATGACAATTGCCTTTACCAACTTGTGACACTGCTGACACCAAGATTTCAATAGTACATTGTACCTAGCTCCCCCTGGCTACAGGCATGACAGGGATACAATGAGGTATCGGTGCTTGTCAGATGCAGCATACCGGTCAGTGGGCCTTCGCATATAACCATAAGCCAAACACAGGAATAAAGTGGCGGCTCTTCATGTACAACTCATGTTGTTTTTTTTTAATACTAGATTCAGTTGCAAAAACAGGCAAAATTTACTACCAAGTGAAATGGAAGGGTTTCAATGAGCAGACATGGGAACCAGCAGGCAATGTATCGTACCAGCTGCGTAGCGACTTCAATAAGAAATAGAAGCCTTGTGCCGGTACATTGAAAATTCAAGTCAGACCAGCAGTACTCAGCAGTAAATATATTTAAATACGGTCATCAGTGATGATGACTTTACCTGTATGTAGAATCAAGCAACTGACTTGCAGGAGATTGTGTCGCTTAAGCGACGAGTAAGAGAGTTGGAGAGCCAACTGCGTGACAAAGAACAAATTATTACGCAGCTGAAGTCGGATCAAGTGACTGCTCATTCTGGGCATCCCTTCAGCATTGGTAAGATTTCCAAGTTTCTAATTTTGTTGTGCTTGTATAACCAACAGTTGGTCATACATACGAATGAACATAAATAAAGTGAAATTGCACATTCTTAATTGTGGACACGGTTGTATGCCACAGCCCAAGGTAATCGATCACGTTTTCTATCATTTGTTATTTCTTCAATGCTATGTATTAAGAAAATATACGGAAGTTTTACATTTACAATCAGTTATTGTCTTATGTATTTGTTGTGCAGACATCACTCCTAAGAAAATAAGACTTATGAAGGAGTTGACCAGTATGGTTGAAGGTACAGCAGCACCACCGCCACCCCCACCATCACCACTGCCACAGACATCACCGCCAAAGACATCACCGCCGCCACAACAAACAGCACCGCCGTCCACAAGGACATCACCGCCGCCACCACCACAGACGGTGCCGCCGCCACCAGCACCACGGACTGCTTCAGCAACCCCAGTGGTAGCTGCACAGCCACCACCAGTGTCTACCAGCCCAAGTTTCCCTGCCTTGTCCAATACGGTATTACCCTTTGTAAAGTCTTTTTTATGCTGATTGAAAATTAATTTGATTTTATAAAGAATACATAAGGCTTTCCTATCAGCATCATAGACAGAAATTGTTGGAAATTGTCACCTTATACATTTACACACCCAACAACATATCACCAAATTAAATCTTGCCAAAGTCATAATTTCAATGTAAAGTGTAGCTAGTATAATACATTTTACAAAATATTCTGTGGTTTACATATCCACACAATGTACTACTAAATCACATTTATAAGATTTCATTGGATTGGACCCACATTGGAAATTTAAAAGCTACATGATGATATAGTGAGTAAAAAATAATTTAAAAAAATGAACACATAGCAATATGTTTTAACAATGTATGCATACTAATCATCATGTTCCCAAGTTGATGTTTTTGAGTTTTACCCACAGCTTTCACCACTCTACACTGGAGGGATTCCGGTGATAACCGAGAGGGCCAAGAGGCTAGCATTCAACAAGGGCAAGTGGAAGGAGAGTTTGCTGTACAGCCTATTGGTCGGCGTCTTTGGAGAAGAACGGCTTGCCCGAGGAAATGCCTGTGGGTCTCGGCAAGCTGTCAACCGCAAGGACACTGAAGAGTACCACCCGCTGGACCCAGAGAAACTTCACGAAATAAAAGGTACTTCATAATTTTTTTTTTAATTCCCCCACCCCCCCCCCCAAAAAATCTTGTCCAATAAAATAATAAACATTGTTTCTCATGTATGTAACTCATTTAAAAGCAATATCATCTTTAATTACATCTTTTTAATGGGAGCCCTTTTTAAAGGCCAGTTATAATACGTACACATGTACATGTGAACCCCATTTTTTTTAAGCTGTACTAACACACACATGTACAACTAAAGTATTTAAAATAAAAGAGCTACTTCAAGTTTCATGCTAAGTGAAAGTTTTAAAATGAGGAATCACAAAAACAAGATACGAAAAGAAATCCGAAATGGCTTTTATGAAATGGTTCGATCTTTTATCGTTCATTTTATACAGCCTTGTTGAAGAAATATGGGTGATATTCCTGACTACCAATACGCGGTGCCTCACTTCATTTTAAATCGATCCCTATCTTGACATAATGAAGGCGGTATTTTTGATGCACACCCCTCACACCCCTGAAGTCGAACACCCAAGAAATGTGATGAGGTGGTCCTATTTTGGCCCAAAATCTCCAAATGAAAATTCCCGACAAACGACTCATGTAGCCTGATAGCATCACATTTATTGTTACATGTATTGAAGTTTGTGTATCATGACATGGCTTTTCTTTTCTTCATTTTTCGTTTTGTTTTCAGAGTGTGTTCTACAACGGTTCAGACTACCAACAGGCCAGCCATGTTTGTCTCCTAAGGAGTTCAACGAGAAGATCAATCAAAAGTGCGCTACTGTCAGACGGGCATTGAAGAAAAGAAATAAGTAGTGATTAAACTGAAGCCCAGCAAGGGACAGGGTAGAATTATTTTTTGTAATTTGCTAATTCGTTCCCACGAATTACCAACTCGTTCCCGGATGCACTAGTAAGCAATTCGTGCGAATGAAATAGCAATCCGTGCGAACGCAATAGTGATTCGTGCGAACGAGTTAGCAATTCGTGGGAACGAATTAGGAATTTGTGCGAATGAATTAGGAATTTGTGCGAACGAATTATCAAATTCCAAAAAAAAATCCACCCTGTCCATTCTCGGGCTTCATAGTATGGCGTCATAGTAAACATCTATAAATTAAACAACATGTTTGAGTTTAACTTCTCAAATTCAAGAAGTTTGTTAATTCCCTGTAGCATTTGATTCTGTGTTCTAATAGTTTTTAGTTCTATATTTGCATTATTCCATTACTCCATTTTATGTTTCTTGTATTTTCCACTAACTTATTTTTTGCATCACAAATAACATTATGTCTTATTTTCTCATTTTAACAATTTGTGTCATATCGGTACATGGGATAAATTTCGATGACTGGGTTGAGTTAAGACATTTTTGCACTGATAAACCAGCAGACTTATATTGATTTTTTTTTTTTGATCGATTTTTTTTTTGATTTTTTTTTTTTTAAAGGGAAAATACAACATTTGCAAACATCAAAAAATAAAACTACCAAATCATTTTGAAATACCTTGCTGGACTGTTAGTGAATGACAGTGTGAAGCATCCTGTAAAATCATGGCACCTGGTATACTGTCATTTTCAAGAAAAGTGGTATTTTTGTATCAATTTCCAACGCTGATCGGCCGATCAGCGTTGGAAAAAAACTGGCTTTTTTTCAAATACTGGCCCCAATTGACCATCGCACTTGTTTGCAATCGATTACAAACCTATGAACGGGTACGAGCCAGCTAGACTGGTTCCCTGACCTTACAATTCCCCAATGAATGTAAACTGCTCTGTTTCTTCTTATATGGAGTCAGGGAACCAGACTACAGGAAAATGATTGTTTTTCTTGGTTTTATAGCATTTTCGAACCCAAAACCTCAAAAAAGTCAGTGTAACTATATTTGCTATATATTTCCAACCCCCAATTCCATCCATTTCTGAAAATTACAGCAAAAGCAAATGATGTATATTCCCTTTAAACGCCGTCAAATTTCCATTAGAAATCCAAAGAAAACATTACCATTTGTTGTTTTTATTTTGTAGAATTTTCCTCTCATACATAGAAGTTATATTTCTGGAATATATATAACAAACTTTAGTTTTTACTTTTAGGAAAGGTTATTGTTGTTTTTGTTATTATAGTTAGTAAAGTAACACTTCAAAAGCAGTTATTAAAGCTTTATGTTCAGCTCATACATGTTATTAAGTGTCACAAATATGTACTGCCCATTAACTGCAACCTAATTGTCCGCAAGCTTACTGCAACTTTCAGCAAGCTTGTCTGCAAGCTCGCTGCAATCTAGTCTGCACGCTTGCTGCAATCTAGTCTGCAAGCTTGTCATTGCTGCATTAGCCTGCAAGCTTGTCATTACTGCATTCTAGCCTGCAAGCTTGCCGCAATCTAGTCTGCAAGCTTGCAGTGCCTCATTTGCATTTTTGGAACCCTGCAAGGTTGCTGCAATCTAGTCTGCAAGCTTGCCGCAATCTCGTCCGCAAGCTTGCTGCAGTCTAGTCTGCAAGCTTGCCGCAATCTCGTCCGCAAGCTTGCTGCAGTCTAGTCTGCAAGCTTGCAGTTGTCTAGTCTGCAAGCTTGCAGTGCCTCATTTGCATTTTTGGAACCTCGCAAGCTTGCCTGCAAGCTTGCCGGCAAGCTTGCAGGCAAGCTTCATGAAATTTCTGTAAGGGAAAAATGACTTTGAGTGATTACAGCAAGTGTGCCAGTGGCACAACATGTGTTGTTGATGGGGCCTTATCAGCACTTGAGAAGGCATTGTGTAAAGCGCTCTGGAGAGTTGAGATTGTTGGAAAGCGTTTGCGTACCGTTGTAGTGCTGCATGTTCACTGCCAAGATTAAGACAGCCCTTGACACACTGATGAACCGAAGACATGAAGCAGGAATAGATGACAGCAATGCGTACCTGTTCAGTAATCAGCGAGGACTGGGACACATAAGGGGAACTGACACACTTCGAGAACATGCTTCAAAGTGCAAAGCTAAGAATCCTGAGTTCCTTCGTGCAACGAGACTTCGCAAACACATTGCTACAGTATCACAAGTAATGAATCTTCAGGAAAACGAGCTCGACCTGCTGGCGAGCTTCTTAGGTCATGATGTCAGAACCCATCGTGAGTTCTACCGCATGCCAGAGTCAACACTTCAAGTTGCCAAACTGTCAAAGGTCCTTCTCAAGATGGACAAAGGTGATGTGCAGGGACTGGCTGGAAAAAGACTGAAGGATGTTGAACTGGACCCTAGTGAAGGTATGATTTTTATATCACTACATGTACTAAAAAATTACAAGAGTTGATTCCATCCACTAGCAGGTATGACATTCTTCCAACTTAAGTTATATGTCAAATTTTTGCTGAGATAAAACAGTTCTGATGGTGGAAACAAAATAAAAATTATAAATGTGTGTAAAATTAAAAAACACAAATTTATTTTTATTGTAATAATTTTTTGTTAGTACATGTGTATTTGTATTCAAATCAGAAAAAATTAAAATAAATAAAAAAGAGGGCCCACACCATGGAAAGTCATACCAATTAGTTAGTACTTTGAACACCATAACATTTTTCAATTTTTCTATTAACAATGCTGTTTTATTACTAATTGAAATGTTGGCAGCTTTCAGTGTTTAGTTATTACTTTGAACACCATAACATTTTCAATTTGTTTTATACCATGCCTGCTTTAACTGAACACAAACCAAGCTGGATTGCACCTCAAACTTACCTCTAAAAATGTGTGTGTATAGATTTTAATGTTTGAATTACAATGTATGTTTAAATGATTAAATTACAAAATTGGTCAGCAAAAAAATGAATGAAATATAAAGGAAACACAATAAAGGAAATTGTATGGAATGTGAAGGTTATCAAGACCGAGGTACAATATATACATGTTATTATACATACATATTTAAGGTTTTTTGTTTATGTGTTTGTTTTTCTTAGAATACGATACAGATGCGATGTCGGAATCGTCAGGTGATGAGAGAGATGATGAGCCTGAGGAACCCATGAGTCTGAATGAGGAAGCAAAAGGTTCGTACATTGGAATTTAGAATAAATCGGAAAGAGTTTCTCACTAGTTGGAGCCGCCATAATGTATGACACTTTTACAGCCGCTTTGCAAAACCTGTATTTAACAAGCTGTCAAGTATGGGACACTAAATATTGAAGACGGCATAATGTAGTCAAGTAATGTAGTATTTGACCACACCAAAGTCATTGGTACAACCAACAAGTACCTGAGACATGGTTTGTCAGTGCAGCAAATGTCTTATGCAAACATCTTGATGGGTGAGGGTGGAGAAAGAAAAAACTTTAAAAAACTTTTTTCAACTTCATTACAGATGCAGATGGGACAAAGCTTGTTGTACAGCAGCAAACAAAGAGGCCATGGACTTGT